TGCATGATTTACTTGTAAAGTTTTCCTGATGTATCTCAAAGTAAGAGAAGAGCAAATGAAATAATCTTGTGGAGCAACACTTCTATAGCACTTGCGATTCAAAGCAATCAGGAATTCCAGAAAATCAGGAAAACTACACCCATGCAAACAGCTGCATATACCTTATTTCAGCTAGCCTGTGATGGGTTAGTCTGGCAGACATCACCTAGCAATCCTGCCCATCTCCTTTACTTGTAGAACAGCCATCATATGAATATCTAAGCAACAACGAAAATTATTCCTTCTCCTTAGCTCATGCCAAGGAAAGCTGCCATTTGAGGGCAGGGGGAGGGCTSAATGGGATATCTGGGTCAGGCTGTGCTCAGCCTGGAACAGAAGCCTCTTTTTGCAGCAAGATGCTCCATGYTTGGGGACTCTTCCCAAAATCTCCTCACACTGCAGGCTGACAAATAGAGGCAGCTCCTCTGGTGATCCTTGGATTCCCRTTATGAAACAAGGATTGAAAGTGGTTCTGCTCCAACCCATGATAGTTACAGGTTCATAACCTTAGACAAAAGGTATGTGGTTGAACAGATGACTTGTATTCAGCAGACTGGTATACAGAAATGTGCCTTTCCTATATGTCTGCAAACTGCTGTTATACTTTTACTTATGCATTTTAATCTCACCTTCAGCCTCCTTGATAACAGGGAATATAAGTGCTCTTGAACAGGGACTTGTCCTTGCTCTGCATCTGTGCAATGTGTAGTGCAATGAACCTGCTGCCACGTGGGTCTTCCAGCTACGACAGCCTTGGGCAGGCCCCTCGTACTTGCAGGTGATGGTGCTACAGATGAATATGGAGAGATTCGCATGACAAGCATCTGCTGTCACCAAATTAGCACAYGAGCCACATTCTGTTGCTGCATGTAACTCCTCAAGGTCTTTTCTGTGGCCTGCCTTCCACTCTGGGTGCTTGGGAGCAGCAGTGTTGCATGGAGGTGCATCCTTGGAGCGTGTGCCCTGGTCAGCCCACACCATTCAAAAGAAGCGGAGATGGATTCTTTGCTATAAGAACTGTTCTTTGCTATAAGAACTGAAGAACAGGGGCTGTTTACGTGTTGGGGTGTAGCATTCCCTACCCTAGGAGATCAGAGCTCAAAGCATTATAATACTGGTGAGTGGAGAATCGTAAAAAAGTCACTATACTTGGATGAAAGCTGCTTGATTTCACATTCAATCTGCACCTTATTTCTAGTGCTTCCCTTGTGCACTGTATGCTCAAGTATGTCTGCCACCACTTCGCTTGACTCTGGCTGTCTCGTCCTTATCTTCTCCTCTTCACGGTCTCTCTTCTGTGTCCAATCTTCCTCCTTTAAATGTCTCTTTCAGTCAGTTATATTCTTATCTCCAATCTCTCCAAACACTTCTTTCCACAGCTGTGTCACTGCTCATCTGTCACACTGAAGGGAACCAGAGATGGTTTTAAGACACTTCCATAGTATCACAGTCTCAAATGCAGTCACGTATCTGCCTAGACTTGAGTGTAAAAGTCAGCAGCTTTAGCTKTCGAGGGGGAAGAAAACTCAAGAGCAGCAGTGCAACAGCTTCTTATTCCCACAGAGGTACTTTCAGTCTGGGGCTTCTAGAGGAAGGGGTAGAGCTGGGCTGTTCTACTGCCCATGTGCCCATACGCTATTTTGGGAGAGGTGAAGGGACAGAAGGGACAGAAGGGACAGAAGAAGAATCTAATTCCCTTCAGATTGCAGCATTCAGCTGGCTCTTGTGTTTTGGCCTAAGCTGTTTTCACTCAGGTCAGAAAATATGTGGCATGAACAGGGACTGTTTTTCTTTGCTATAAATAGTAAAGCTCAGACTGCTCAGACAAATACAGTTGTATAAATGAAATGCTAAAGCCAGACTTAAAGAGAGTCTATAGCAAACACTAACCTTTTTATAGTAACTTATAACAAAGATTTGCCTAGATGGCAGGCTTGTATAAAGAAGTAAATTATCATACTTCCTTATAGCAGCATAGAGCCTTTTACAGATAGGTTAACAGAGCAGCCCTCTCCAGTAAACAGATGTAGTTCAGAGAGAAGTGACTAATACCTRTAATAACTTAAACTGCACATCAGTTAAATCAATAATAAGGACACGACTCAACTACAGTACAAACTGGAAAATACAGTGGAAGTCCTTTTTTATTTATGAAGGATTTATATTATACCAATGCTTGATGCAGAAGTCTTAAAAATGCCCCAGAAATGACCACAGGTGCCGTGTCCTCCCGCGTGGCACTGCGTGGGGCAGCGTGCGTGGAGGTGTGGTGCTCAGCTCCCAGGAGATTGCAAGAACACTCCAGTAAAACACAAATGCTGCAGTCTCAGCCAGCTTTTAAGCCTTTGAAGGTAATCACACCTTGAAATTGCCCAGGGGCATGAAGTAGTTGCCAGAGAAGAACTCAAATGTTGATTAAAGAAGGCAGTAATACCAGTACTTAAACAATAAAGAAGTTCTGTTCTACAGAAAAAGGAGGGAAATGAAGAAGTGCTGTTTTCCCTATATCCCTGCCCAGACCCGATGAAGCTCATTTCTCCCTCCCTGGTTCTTGAGTCTTGCAGAAGCTGACCTTTCCCATTGCTCTGTCCCRCGGATGGACTTTTCTACCTGGGCCACGATGACATTAGCTTCACAGTGATGCGTAAAGCAGGAGTATCTCCTCGTAGTTACACTGCTGTAGACCTGTTTGCAGTGAGAAGTATACCTGACCTACAGTTTGCCTCTAATCAGGCCTATTACAGTAAATACTTGGCCACATGCTGAGCCAAAACACTTAAAATAAGTATCAAGGACATCCAGGAGAACTCCTGGAGGTGAGTGAGAAATGATAGTCTAAAATAGGTGCACAGCAAACAAATGCTAAGACATCTCTTCTGGCTGGAAGACAAGACCAGGGACAAGTCACTATGAAATAGCCTCTTTTTATTCCTCTTCTTGGCATCCCCTACCAGTCATTTAGAGAGAAGATGGGGTTGGCTGGGCCAGCATGTGCCTGTTACTGTTTCCAGTTCCACTGACTTTTGTTGGAGCTATGGGCACCCAGCACTTTGGAAATAGCTTTTCCACCAGCAAATGACTGTATCCACTATCATGATACTCAGCTTTCCTTCAAAGGGAATAAAATAAAGCAAACAAACAAAAAGGTTACTGCTCTTCAGACTTGCCTCAGTGATTTTTCTGTTACTTGAAAGAGAAAAAAAAAATCCATAAAATTGTAGGTCCTTTTATAGAACCTCTTACAAGCTCTTAATCCACTCTCAAATCCTTGAGATTAATTCAATTTTGACAGTCCCTCATAGGTACTTTCCTGCACGGGGATCTGAGTAATGCGTGCTGAGAATAATTTCAACCTACTCCTCTAAACCAGGAGGAGGATCAGAGAGGCAAGGCTGGCACTGGGACTCCAGTGTTTAGTGGAGGCAGCAACTCCCTTCCTATGACCTCAGACTTGCTCGTTTGGCCTTGTTGGGTAGGGAACAACCACATTTGTGTCAGAGAGGTGTTGCAAAGCTTAATTAAGGTTCAATGAACCCCTTTGAGAACCTGAAATGAAAGATGCTGTGTAAGTACACAGCTTATTTGTATTCATTAGCAGTAGAAAAGTCGATTATCCAGAAATCTGATTTGGTTCTGCATACCATGGAGTCACACCTGCCATTTAGATGTAAGGGTGACAGGACCCTTGGGTGGCTAGGACCATCCTGCATGAAGCATGAGCTACATGAGCAGCTGTCAGGTGCTGGAAACCTTGTTGTTGAGGGCTTGGGTTGGACACAAGGTTTTGGGAAGAGAAGGGTTGGGCCATGCCTGAGGTTTTCAGGAGTGGTATGTGGAACACGGTGAGGTTTTCTGAAGCAAAGGGCTGGGAGATAGGTGAGTCTTTCAAAAGAAATGGGCCGAGGGAGCGCTGGTTTTCTGGAGAAAATGTCTGTTAAACACCCGGGGCTTTTGGAAGAGAAGATGGAGGCACTCAAGTTTTCAAAACAGAAAGGCTGGGCTATGCCAGGGATTTTCAGGGCAGCAGGTTGGGGACTTCCCTAAGGCCTTCAGAAGAAAAGAGATGGGAGGTTCCCAAGATTTTTTTTTTTTTTTTTCAGGAAAATGTCACCCAAAGCTTTGCAGAGACCAAACGTGACCTGCGCTCGGTGTACAGGGGAGGCTCATGGAGGGCGAGCTCTCCCGAAGGGAAGCCTGGGGCCCCCCGCGCTTTTCGGAAGGGAAAGGCCGGCGCCGGTACCGGCTGCGGCTGCCCGGGGCGGCTCCCGGGCCGGGCCGGTGCCGCCTCCTGACGTCGCGAACC